TTTGGTTCCTTTCAGTGTGCTTATTCATTCTTGGATGAATAGCTAATCAAGATCAAACCATTATAGTACTGATATATACATTTGTATATACAGTGCATTTAGTGGTAGAAAATAATTTATGTTTCTTTGTGTTTCAGTAATTAAATTATTTTATTTCAAGTATCAATACAAAGTTCAATCTAAAAGAAATTTAACATAAAGAGCAAACAAAAAGTAGATAAAAGTAAAACAATAATAATAAATAACAAAGAAAATATGAATTCATAAAAGTATGACAATAATAAATAACAAACAAATAAAATGAGCATAAAAATATGACAATGATAATAAATAACAAACAAATGAAATATAAATTCATAAAAATATGACATTGATAAAAAAACAAATAAAATATGAATTCATAAAAGTACAACAATAATAAATAACAACGAAATAAAATATGAATTCAAAAAGTACAACAACAATAATAAATAACAACGAAATAAAATACGAATGAATTAATCAATTTAGCAAAGCGCAGAATGCTTTAAAAGAGCGGCTCGTCTCCATTCCCGGAGCGCGATGTTCCTCGTCCAGGGAGCGGCGGGTGACTGACGGCCGACAGACAGACGCTCGGACCAGAGACCGCAGTCCGATCACCAAAATATTAACCTGTAATTTAACATCGGGTTCGGGATCCGGCTTTTGATTAGGAGTTTAGATTAGTTTCGACGTCGGCAATTACCGCAACGTGGAATTATTTATAATGATTTTCCAGATGGCGCTGTTGTAGGTAGTTTAGAATGAAACATGGATAAATCATTTGGCTGCAGAATGCTTACCGACAAATCACTTTGGGAAGAGGATTAACCTTTCAACGGATTAGGAAAATGAATAGAAACGAAACAGCAGAGGTGGGCGTGTCTACATGGGCGAAGCCGGACGGACGCCCACTGACGGGAAAGGCTAGATCAGTAGCAACTGGAGTAGGTGTCATGGCGTCTGTTTTGATGCTTGTTCAATGAAAATATAACCATTAAAATCATTCTTTTCCATCCTTTTTGAAAATCGAAAAGACCAAAATGATCGACCATATTCACTAAACATCCGTATCTTTTGTGACGTCATCAAAATAAACCCCATGTTTTTTTTCTAAAAATAGAATCAGACGCCATGATATCTCCTCGAGGTGTTACTGGTCTAACCTTTACCGCCCTCAGACACCAGCCGAGCTTCCAGGCTTTGATTGTGGGGGGGGGGGGTACATCAGTAGCAACTCGAGGAAGTATCATGGCGTGATTCTATTTTTAGAAAACAAAAAACATGGGGTTTATTTTGATGACGCTTTGTGAATATGGTCGATCATTTTGTTCTTTTTAATTTTCAAAACGGATGGAAAATGATGATTTTAATGGTTATATTTTCATTGAACAATCAGCAAAACACGCCATGACACCTCGAGTTGCTACTGATCTAGCCTTCCCCTTTTGATTGGACGAAGCTTAAACAAGCGCCGTCCAGCAATGAGATATGAAAAGGACTCTGGTTTGTGGGGTCGAAATATGGGATTATTAGTGTTTATATTGTTTATTTTCTTTCTCGGGCGAGCCTTCTCGGTGAGCTACTTAGCATAATGACGGATTATTGTAACTTTTCTAAATACACTATGGCTTTCACGTCTCCTGCCGGCTGCTGGATTCTTACCATGTGCTAAATATCAACGCTTTCTGGTGACGCACGGCGCGACCCCGCCCCTCCCTCTCCCCCAACTCCCCAACCCCACCGCCTCACCCAACACCCTTTTCTCCCCCCCTCCCCCCCCCTCCGTTCCACCTGATTCAAGAGCAGCATAATCACCTCTTGACCAGGACCCAGTAATTCCGCCTTCGCCATCATCTTGACCCACATCCTGCGGGGAGGCGGCCGGGATCATCTTGTTCTCTTGTTTATTGTCATTTTTTTTTACCTTGGACCACGTGTGCAACGCTTGCGAGTTTTTGCGTGCACTGCGTCCAAGAACTACCATGGCTGAGATCTGAGACTGACGTCGTTAATAAACAGAATAATGGGACTGCCGCATGCGATCTTTCTAGACCTCTGCACGAACTTAAATATTTATGGACACACAAAAATACACGCGCTTATATACAGACACAAACACACACGCACACATATGTGTATATATGCATATGTACGTGCATGTTTTCTCACCTTTTCTCAGAATTCGCGTGGGCTTTTGCTTCCGCATCTTTGCAAGTAATTACGTGTGTTTGTGGATGCCTGCTTACTCAAGTGCTCGCCCTCTCGTGTCCTTGCATATAAGTATAACCACGATTATTTGACCTTTCTTCCCTAAAGGCGGCATATATTTTATATTTTTTTCCTGTAAGCGCGCTTGAACCTACGTGCCAAAGCCGATATGTAGTTCCACGGAGCGTCAGCCTAGCTTATTCTTATTAAATAGCGCAGACGACCCTGCTTTCCGAAGGGACGCGGCCGCTCGGATTTAAAATTCCTGCCCATGCCTTACTGGGAGGCCTTCCGGGTGCCCTTCCTAACGTCGTTCGTGGTCCGGTTAGGAGATTCGAACGCTGGACTTCTGCGCTGGGAGGCAAGGAAGGACCCACTGAACCCTGCGTTCTAAAATGACAAGAGAAATTACTAAGAAAATCGTCATCCTTCGCCCTATGGCAGTGATCTCGTGCACTGGATGAGTCTGTTTCTCACTCCTCTTGTGTGTGTGTGTGTGTGTGTGTGTGTGTGTGTGTGTGTGTGTGTGTGTGTGTGTGTGTGTGTGTGTGTGTGTGTGTGTGTGTGTGTGTGTGTGTGTGTGTGTGCGTGTGCGCGCGCGCGTTCGTGCATGTAAAGATATACACATATGCACACATACATAAATACACAGGAACACGCACATGTATAGATAGAGAGATAAATCTATAGATAGACAGTGAGAAAAAAAAACATGATAAGATAAGAAAGGGAGTGAGAGAGAGAGAGAGAGAGAGAGAGAGAGAGAGAGAGAGAGAGAGAGAGAGAGAGAGAGAGAGAGAGAGAGAGAGAGAGAGAGAGAGAGAGAGAGAGAGAGAAAGCCATCAGCAAGTCATAAGAAAACACGTGAAAACAAGGTGCCGAGTCCCTGCATCGAGCGCTCCTCGCGTCTTTCATCCTTGCCAGAGGTTTCAAATGGATTAAGGATTACGTACCTAATATTTTTTCCATAGCAAATGTTAGACTGTGACTGAAAAATAATTAGATGAAAAATGACCCAGAATTAACAACAATAGCCAAGAAAAATTGTAATATATATATATATATATATATATATATATATATATATATATATATATATTCATATATATATTAACAAATCCAGATTCTGTAATATTAAAGAATCACAATGCACATTAATCCAGTCAGCGGAACAGCCGTGTTATAAAAGCATAGCTGCATAAATGAATATTCCACATGCATAAACAAAAACGGAGAGGAGCACGCACAGGTGGGCGGACATCACACGCGTACACAAGTACAGACATTAAACCATACATTCAGAACCAAGCTGCACGCAAACAACAAAGAAAAATACACACTTAAGCACACTCACCGCCATGGATCTCAATTATTACCCATTCAATAATATATTCATTAGCACGACCTGCCACGATCCCTTAAGAGAAAAGAATATTCTTAAAAAAAACTTTAATTAAAGAAAACGGTGTTAGGGGGGACTGCCTTGTTTTGATAGACGCAACACGCCTTGCTAAGGACCAGCAGGGAAAGTTAATCAATACATTTTGTTCAGCAGGCGGGTGTGTGGGGGCCGTTCCCTTGAGGTCCTAACGCGTTTAAATAAAAAAACAGCATTGCACATATACAGTACATACGCACACGAGGGAATAAAGACGCACAGACAACCCCAAATATGATAGAAAAAACACGTACAGAGAGTGGATGAAATTTGAAAACACGTTGCCAGCACTCACACAATAGGAATGATATGGCATTTTTATACAAGCATTATATAATTAAAATGACATGAAAATTATAATACAATAAGATTAAAATTATATGAATGAACCTAGAAAACACAATATGAATGATATGTAATTTTTTTTACATTTTCATTAAAGGAATAAAAAAAGCAAGGCAAGAAACCTAAATGGTATACACGCACGAAATCGAGAAAATGAGAGAGAGAGAGAGAGAGAGAGAGAGAGAGAGAGAGAGAGAGAGAGAGAGAGAGAGAGAGAGAGAGAGAGAGAGAGAGAGAGAGAGAGAGAGAGAGAGAGAGAGAGAAGAGAGAGAAGAGAAGAGAAGAGAGAGAGAGAGAGAGAGAGAGAGAGAGAGAGAGAGAGAGAGAGAGAGAGAGAGAGAGAAGAGAGAGAGAGAGAGAGAAAGTCACAAAATCCCTCAACAATAAACAAACAACCAAATGCACGCAAATAAACATGTCCATAAACACATTTGCAAAAAGACAACAACAACAGCAACAACAACAACAAAAAAACGCACATACAACACACACTCTTTCGTTCCAATAAAACCCACGCAGACGGACGCGGATGCAGGGACGAGGGAGTGACAAGAACGCACACAGGTAGTGGTGGAGCAGTGACGGTAATCTCTGTAATGAGGAACCTCCATCAGACACCTCTTATGGGGGAGGAGGGGGGGAGGGAGAGGGAGGGAGAGAGGAAGAAGTGGAGATAGGAGGAGGGAAAGGAAGGAGGAGAGGGCTGGTAGGAAGGGGGAGGGAGAGGGAGAGGAAGAGAAAGAGCTAGAGGGAGAGGGCAGGGGCAGGTAGAGGTAGAGAGCAGGGACAGATAGAAAGAGGGAAAGGAAGAGGACACGGCAGTTAGGGAGGGGGGAGGGAGGAAGAGAAAGAGGGAGATAGAGAGGGCAGGGGCAGGTAGAGGTAGAGAGAGAGAGAGGGAAAGAGCAGTGACAGATAGGAAGAGGGAAAGGAAGAGGACAGGGCAGGTAGGGAGGGGAGGGGATGAGGGAGAGGGCAAGGACAGATAGGACGAGGGAGAGAGGATGAAGAAGAGGAGATAGGAGGAGGTAAAGGAAGAGGAGAGGGCAGGAAGGGAGGGGGGTAGAGGAAGATAAAGAGGGAGAGGGATAGGAGAGGGCAGGTAGGGTAGAGAGCAGGGAGATAGAAAGAGGGAAAGGAAGAGGAACGGCAGTTAGGAGGGGGGAGGGAGGAAGAGAAAGAGGGAGATAGAGAGGGCAGTAGGTAGGGCAGAGAGAGGGGGAGGGAGAGAGCAGTGACAGATAGGAAGAGGGAAAGGAAGAGGACAGGGCAGGTAGGGAGGGGAGGGGGAAGAGGGAGAGGGCAAGGACAGATAGGATGAAGGAGAGAGGATGAAGAAGAGGAGATAGGAGGAGGGAAAGAAGAGGAGAGGCAGGAAGGGAGGGGGGTAGAGGAAGATAAAGAGGGAGAGGGATAGGGAGAGGGCAGGGGCAGGTAGAGGTAGAGAGAGGGAGAGGGAGAGAGCAGGGACAGATGGGAAGAGGGAAAGGAAGAGGGCAGGGCAGGTAGGGAGGGGAGGGGAGGGGGAGAGGGATAGGGCAAGGACAGGTAGGACGAGGGAGAGAGGGAGAAGAAGAGGAGATAGGAGGAGGGAAAGGAAGAGGACAGGGTAGGTAGAGAGGGGGAAGAGGAAGAGGAGGAGAAAGCGGGGGAGGGAGACGGCAGGGGCAGGGGAGGGAGAGAGGGAGAAGAGAGGGCAGAGCAGGTAGAGGAAGAGAGAGGTGAGAGAGAGAGAGAGAGAGAGAGAGAGAGAGAGAGAGAGAGAGAGAGAGAGAGAGAGAGAGAGAGAGAGAGAGAGAGAGAGAGAGAGAGAGAGAGAAGAGGTGAGGAAGAGAAAAGGACAGGTAGGAGGAGGGGGAAGGAGAGGGCAGGGGCAGGAAGGGAGAAGGAAGAGAGCAAGTACAGGTAGGAGAAGAGGAAGAGGGTTTGGGCAGGTAGGAGAGAGAATGGGAAGAGGAAAGTAGGTTGCTGGCGATGGAGGATAGGGGGAGGAAGAGGAAGGGTGAAGGGAGAAGGGCAAAGGGGAAGGTAATGAAGAAGAGAGAAATTTGTAGGGGACATATAGGGGGAAGGGGAAGGGGGAGAAGAGAAAGAAGGAGGGAAGAAAGGTAGGAAGGAAGGAAGAAAGGAAGTAAAGAAAGAAGGGAGGGAGCAGGGGGGATAGGAGGAGGAAGAAGGGTGAAAGGGAAGGTAATGGAAAAGAGACGAAGGGGGAAGGGGCAGGTGAGGATGGAGAGGAAGGGGGAAAGGGTAAATAGGAGGGGAGAGGAAGGTAGAAGGAGCTGTTAGGGAAGAAAAAGGAAAGGAAAGGTAAGGGAAAGGGAGAGGAAGGGACGAGAAAAGCGACTTTTTTCACTCGATATTTCTTCTGTTTTATTATTCGTCTTTGTTCCCCTATTCTGTTTGCCTGTCTCTCTCTTTTGTCTGTCTGTTCATGTGGAAGTTTGTTTGTTATTGTGTGTGTATCTTGTGTATCTTTCACCTCTCTCCCTATGTCTCTATCATTCGATGGCTGTCTTTCCTGACGTTTTTTTTCCATATCCTGACTTTGTTTGCCCTGTCTCTCGCACCACTCTCTCTCTCTTTCACACTCTTATACTCTCTCTCTCTCTCACAACTCTCTCGTCACTCACTCTCTCTCTCTCTCTCTCTCTCTCTCTCTCTCTCCTCTCTCTCTCTCTCTCTCTCTCTCTCTCCTCTCTCTCTCTCCTCTCTCTGTCTACTCACACACACACACACACACACACACACACACTCTCTTCTCTCTCTCTCTCACTCTCTCTCTCTCTCTCTCTCTCTCTCTCTCTCTCTCTCTCTCTCTCTCTCTCTCTCTCACACACACACACACACACACACACACACACACACACACACTCTCTCTCTCTCTCTCTCACACACACACACACGTTCTCTCTCTCTCTTCCTTTCCTTTCTTCTCTTCCTCTCTAACCACCTCTCTCTTTCTCCCCAACTCACTCTTTCTCTTTCTCTCTCCTTCTCCTCATCTCCCTCTTTCTCTTCCTCTATCTCTACATCCCCCCTTCCCTCGCACCCCTTCGTTTTTTTCCATTCTTCACCTCTCAACTCCTCTTTCTTATCTCCCACATCATTACGTCTCTCTCTCTTCCCTCTTTTGTCTGCTCGGAAAAAATAAATATATTCCAATATTCATATTGAATTACTAAAATGCAAATAGATGCTAAAACTTTATCTATACATAGAAATATATGCAAACGCGGCAGGGACATAGAAAACTTTGAGCCTTGTGGGATAGGCGCTCTCAGGCCCCTCGCTCCCCTTCCCCCATTCCCTCTTCCACTCAGTCCAGTTCCCTCTCCATTCAGCCCTCACTCCCTCTCCACTTCCAATTCCCTCTCTCTCAGTTCCTCTCCACTCAGCCCTCCTCCCTCTCCACTCAGCCTCCAGTTCCCTCTCCTCAGCCTCCAATTCCCTATCTCAGCCTCAGCCTCCACTCAGCCTTGCCTCCATTCCCTCTCCACTCAGCCCTCACTCCTCTCCACTCAGCCTCCAATTCCCTCTCCACTCAGCCCTCACTCCCTCCACTCCAGCCTCACTCCCTCTCCACTCAGCCTCCAATTCCCTCTCCACTCAGTCCCCAGTTCCCAATCCACTCAGCCCTCACTCCTTCTCCACTCAACCTCCAATATCCACTCCACTCAACCCCCAGTTCACTCTCCACTCAGCAACCAGTTCCCTCTCCTCTCAGCCCTCACTCCCTCTCCACTTAGCCCCGAGTTCCCTCTCCACTCAGCCCTTACTCCCTCTCCAGTCATCCCCCAGACCCCTCTCCAGTCAGCCCTCACTCCTTCTCCACTCAACCTCCAGTTCCCTCTCCACTCATCCCCCAGTCCCCTCTCCAGTCAGCCCTCACTCCCTCTCCACTTAGCCCCGAGTTCCCACTCCACTCAGACCCCAGTTCCCTCTCCACTCAGCCCTCACTCCCTCTCCACTCAGCCCCCAGTTCTCACTCCACTCAGCCCCCAGTTCTCACTCCACTCAGCCCTCACTCCCTCTCCACTCAACCTCCAATTCCCACTTCACTCAGCCGTCACTCCCTCTCCACTCAGCCCCCAGTCCCCTCTCCAGTCAGCCCTCACTCCCTCTCCACTTAGCCCCGAGTTCCCACTCCACTCAGCCCCCAGTTCCCTCTCCACTCATCCCCCAGTCCCCTCTCCAGTCAGCCCTCACTCCCTCTCCACTTAGCCCCGAGTTCCCACTCCACTCAGCCCCCAGTTCCCTCTCCACTCAGCCCTCACTCCCTCTCCACTCAGCCCCCAGTTCTCACTCCACTCAGCCCCCAGTTCTCACTCCACTCAGTCCTCACTCCCTCTCCACTCAACCTCCAATTCCCACTTCACTCAGCCGTCACTCCCTCTCCACTCAGCCCCCAGTCCCCTCTCCAGTCAGCCCTCACTCCCTCTCCACTCAACCTCCAATTCCCACTTCACTCAGCCCCCAGTTCCCTCTCCACTCAACCTCCAGTTCCCTCTCCACTCAGCCCTCACCCTCCCACTCTCCACCCAACCTCCAGTTCCCTCTCCACTCAACCTCCAGTTCCCTCTCCACTCAGCCCTCACTCCCTCTCCATTCAACCTCAGTTCCTCTCCACTTACATCCAGTTCCCTCTCCACTCAGCCCTCACTCCTCTCCACTTAACCCCAGTTCCCTCTCCACTCAGCCCCCAGTTCCCTCTGCACTCAGCCCTCACTTCCTCTCCACTCAGACCCCAGTTCCCTCTCCACTCAGCCACCACTCCCTCTCCACTTCCCTCTCCAGACCCCAGTTCCCTCTGCACTCAGCCCTCACTCCCTCTCCACTCAGACCCCAGTTCCCTCTGCACTCAGCCCTCACTCCCTCTCCACTCAGACCCCAGTTCCCACTCCACTCAACCCTCACTCCCTCTCCACTCAAACTCCAGTTCCCACTCCACTCAGTCCTCACTCCCTCTCCACTCAACCTCCAGTTCCCACTCCACTCAGCAGGATCGCGAGACTGGTGGTGAGGGTGATTCCATTAATTAAGGTCGTTGTAGTGATGATCGCCGTTATATCATGGTCAGATCGTTATGCTGGTAACGTTCTTTAAAATGCTTATATCATGGTACGATTATTATGAAGGTAATATTATAATGTTTATAGAGGTTATAATCATATTGGTAATAATGACAAGAACGGCGATATATGACAATGGCAGTTATTTATAATCATGATAATATTTGTAAGAGAAAAGGCTATGGTTTATATGATAATGACTGCCAGTAATGATAATTCATGCTAGTCATCATGACCATACATGTCACTATCTTTATACCATGATCATTATTCTAATACCATTATAATTATTTGATTAATACCCTCATCAAATCTTCTCCTATTCATTCTCTACCATTATCACCATTATATTATCATAATTATTTGATTAACACCATCATCAAAACTTCACCCATTCATTCTCTACCATTATCACCATTATTTGATGAACACCATCATCAAAACTTCACCCATCCATTCTCTACCATTATCACCATTATATCATCATCACAATTATTTGATTAACACCATCATCAAAACTTCACCCATCCATTCTCTACCATTATCACCATTATATCATAATTATTTGATTAACACCATCATCAAAACTTCACCCATTCATTCTCTACTATTATCACCATTATATCATCATAATTATTTGATTAACACCATCATCAAAACTTCACCCATCCATTCTCTACCATTATCACCATTATATCATCATCATAATTATTTGATTAACACCATGATCAAAACTTCACCCATCCATTCTCTACCATTATCACCATTATATCATCATCATAATTATTTGATTAACACCATCATCAAAACTTCACCCATTCATTCTCTACCATTATCACCATTATATCATCATCATAATTATTTGATTAACACCATCATCAAAACTTCACCCATTCATTCTTCTACCATTATCACCATTATATCATCATCATATTATTTGATAACACCATCATCAAAACTTCACCCATCCATTCTCTACCATTATCACCATTATATCATCATAATTATTTGATTAACACCATCATCAAAACTTCACCCATTCATTCTCTACCATTATCACCATTATATCACCGGTAAAATGATACTAATGATAACGAATAGCCAGAATACCACAAAAAAAAAAAAGCCACACCATAGGGTCTCCCTGCCAGATCTAACCTTAACGAGTCCGGTTCACATTTCACCCAATTCAAGGGAGAGTGTAACCGGGTTATACTTCATTAGAGGTATATCTTGTTTCTGCTGTTGAAACCCATATGCCCCAACGATACCATTGTTTTATATCCATTGATAAGCAGTGGAATAAACAGAGGAATATATGTACTAATGCTCCTCTCTAATAAACAGAGGAATATTATGTACTAACGCTGGAATATATATGTACTAACGCTCCTCTAATAAACAGAGGAATATAGGCCTATGTACTAACGCTCCTCTAATCACAGCTCCTCTAAAACATTGGAATATAGGCCTATGTACTAACGCTCCTCTAATAAAACTTGGAATATAGGCCTATGTACTAACGCTCCTCTAATAAACAGTGGAATATAGGCCTGTGTACTAACGCTCCTCTAATAAACATTGATGTATAGGCCTATGTACTAACGCTCCTCTAATAAACATTCGAATATAGGCCTATGAACTAACGCTCCTCTCATAAATAGTGGAATATATGTATTAACGCTCATCTAACAAACATGCTTATATCGTTTATAATGCACTCCTTTATATGATTCGTATCATCACGCAGGTAATTCTATTTGTCACATACATATCTTATGCCACATACACACATATATACATATATATATATACGTTCTTTGCCCAATCTGTCTGTTCCTCCATAATTACCACGATGAATATATCAGTCTTAGGTTGTTCTTTCCCTTATTAATATGACCCTTCCTTCTTTGTAACATAAATACGGGATGACTAGTTATCGTTTGACCATTATCCTTTCGGGGAGCGTAAGGGCAGCAACCCGCAGATCCTCCTACATCTTCTTCTTTCTTTTTCTTTCTTTTTCTTCATCTCCTCCTTCTCCTTCTCTTTCTCTTTATCCATCTCTTTCTCCTCCTGCTCCTTCTTCTTCTCCTTCTCTTTCTCCTCCTCCTCCTCTTTCCCCTTCTCCTCCTCTTTCCCTTTCTCCTCCTCCTCATTCCCCTTCTCCTCCTAAAAAAATACGAGAAACAAGACAACCCAAAGCCGCTCTTTGACATCTAAAAAGCTCTTTATTTACTACATGCTTGTAGGGGCTCATCTCCCCTTCCCTGGCAGAGAGCTTTGGCTTATAAAAAGACCCGCTGTGGAAGAGAGGTTACTCTGACGGTGCAAATTCGAGGTCTCCCGCTTCGGTGAAAACAAGGGTTAGAGAGGGAATTCGAGAGGTTTTCGTTTCGGCTGCACAAGAATTCAAAGTTGTTATTTTTTTCCTTTGTCTTTTTTTTTTTTTTTACCTCTGTCACAAGTGTGGGTCGATAAAGGCGATTACTAGGGGGGGTCTGTGGATTTGCGTTTTTAGACTTGTTTTGACACAGACACACACACACACATACGCATACACGCAGGCTCACGCACACACACACGCACGCACACACAGACACAGACACACAGACACAGACACACACACACACACACACACACACACACACACACACACACACACACACACACACACACACACACACACACACACACGCACGCACACGTATTTACTTTTTAGTTATTTTTTGTTTTTCAGTTTATTTACTTTTAATGAATGCGATATTTAATAATCGGATAACACAAAAGCCTATTGAAAAGTATTTACCAATAACATGAAAAGAGGCGTCAGAGAGAGAGAGAGAGAGAGAGAGAGAGAGAGAGAGAGAGAGAGAGACAGAGAGAGAGAGAGAGAGAGAAGGAGACAGAGAGAGAGAGAGAGAGAGAGAGAGAGAGAGAGAGAGAGAAGAAGAGAGAGAGAGAGAGAGAGAGAGAGAGAGAGAGAGAGAGAGAGAGAGAGACAGACAGAGAGAGAGAGATGGACGTAACCCTTCAGAAATATCACACTTGAAATATAAATGTGCACCCCAAACCCCTCCATTATTTAAGGAATTTCGTACGAATGTTCAAAACTGAGAATCACTGTATTGCCATCATCGATCGAGTAATAATTAAGTCCGAAGAACCCCTATGTGACAGACTTAATAATGAGAGTGAGAAAAAATCGATGGTGAGACTAATGATGCTCCATTAGCTGGCGATGGTGAAACTAATGGTAGTGAGGATCGTGGTAGCGTGACTCGTGAATATGAGACTTATGGTAATGAGAAGCATGGTAGTAATGCCAATAATGGTGAAATTAACGTCACTGATACTAATGATAGCAAGACTAATGATAATGCTAATTATGGAGGAAATGAGTGATACTAATGGTAGTGATGCTAATGATGATGATAATGACAGTGATGCTAATGAGTGATGATAATGATGGTGATGATAATGACAGTGATGTAAATGATGATGATGATAATGACAGTGATGCTAATGATAGTGATGATAGTGAGTGATGATAATGATGGTGATGATAGTGAGTGATGATAATGATGGTGACGATAATGACAGTGATAATAATGATAGTGATGATAAGAGTGATGGTAATGATGGTGATGATAATGAGTTATGCTAATGATGGTGGTGATAATGACAGTGATGCTAATGATGGTGATGATAATGACAGTGATGCTAATGATAGTGATGATAAAGAGTGATGCTAATGATGGTAACGATAATGACAGTGATGCTAATGATAGTGATGATAAGTGATGCTAATGATGGCGGTGATGAGTGATGCTAATGATGGTGATGATGACAGATGCTAATGATGATGATAATGAGTGATGCTAATGACAGTGATGCTAATGATGATAATGACAGATGCTAATGATGGTGATGATAATGATGGTGATGATAATGACAGTGATGCTAATGATGGTGATGATAATGACAGTGATGCTAATGGTGGTGATGATGACAGTGATGCTAATGGTGCTGATGATAATGACAGTGATGACAGTGATGCTAATGATGGTGATGATAATGAAAGTGATGCTAATGATGGTGATGATAATGACAGTGATGCTAATGGTGGGTGATGATAATGACAGTGATGCTAATGATGGTGATGATAATGACAGTGATGATGACAGTGATGCTAATGATGGTGATGATAAAGTCAGTGATGCTAATGATGATGATAATGACAGTGATGATAATACAGATGATGCTAATGTGGTGAATGATAATGACAGTGATGCTAATGATGATGATAATGAACAGTACTAATGATGGTGATGATAATGACAGTGATGCCTAATGATGTGATGAAATGAATGATGACAGTGATGCTAATGATGTGGTGATGATAATGGACAGTGATGCTAATGATGTGATGATTAATTGACAGTGATGCAATGATGGTGATGATAATGACAGTGATGCTAATGGTGGTGATGATAATGACAGTGATGCTAATGATGGTGATGATAATGACAGTGATGTAATGATGGTGATGATAATGACAGTGATGCTAATGATGCGATGATAATGACAGTGATGGATGCAATGACAGTGATGCTAAAGATGGTGATGATAATGACAGTGATGATGACTTGATTAATGATGGTGATGATATGACAGTGATGCTAATGATGTGATGATAATGACAGTGATGCCGGTGATGATAATGATTGAAATGACAGTGAGCTAATGATGGTGATATAATGACAGTGATGCTAATGATGGTGATGATAATGGACAGTGATGCTAATGATGATAAAATGACAGTGATGCTAATGGTGATGATGATGATGATATGGACAGTGATGCTGATGGTGATGATAATGACAGTGATGCTAATGATGGTGATGACAGTGATGCTAATGATGCTGATAATAATGACAGTGATGCTAAT